TTTCATTTCACTTAACATCGCGTAAGTGATATCGCCCTGAAATACAATCACAGCTTAAATCTGCGGTAACCAAATCAGTTGATATCTACTCCACCTCTTCTCCACATATTCGTTCAACTTCGTCTCGACAGCGCTTTTGAAAATCGTAGTGAACTGCGAGCATGTAGATTGTGAGGTGAAGTGCGGCTGGAGTGGTCTCAAACCCAGCCAGAACAAACATGAACGCCTGAAGGAACTTGCTGAGGGAAAGGAAAGGAGCTCTGGAGAGGGTAACTTGTCATTTTATATCCAAAGTATTTTCAACTGCATCGCGGTTCTATATGGTTTTGGTAGTTCAAGAGATGGTTTTACATACTTATTAGAGATATAGCATAAGTATCACATAAACTTCGCTATTACTATAAATGGGCACACGGTGTCGTTACTGTAAATTTCTGTATTATTACTGTCTGTGAATCAATTTTTTTGGTATGTTTCCTCTGGCAATTGTGAGCCCATCTCACGTCTTGTGTCTCACCTTTCATTATTTAATTTTTGTCATCTAGTGATCGTTTACATCAAGCGGAGGAGACGAGCGGTCTCGTCAGGAAAGTTCTTCCAGTGCTGGAGTCAGAAGCAGCCAAGCAACGAACTGAGGCGGACTGCTGTTGGGATTTGTAGCGTACTACTTATACCACTGTCTATTGGGGTTCGGAGCTCTGTACTTATTCCATTAAATATTTGCCGTATGGATACCGACTTAGGTGGGCGGTATAAGGACTACCCCCCCCTTCCCCCTTCCTTCCACCCCTCCCATTTGTCAGCCACTACTGGTTAGTTATGAGGCAAACGCTTTTCCGGAAACCTATCCTGTGCATTTTAATCAGTCGCTGACTCTGTTAGCGATGGCCACCTCGGCCGAATGGGAAACGGACATGGGGATCGTAGTTTGTCGCGTAGTGAGGCATATCATGCGACGATGCGCGACAGACCGTCCATGCACATCAACTAGTCGACTGGAGCAGAGAAATCTGTATGAATTCAAGTGGAACAAGATTCTCTTATGGGAGATGTAGATTTTTTTTTCCTTTCCCTTCAATACCCAGTTATCGAACAACCTGGCAAGGCGACTCGTCCGTTGGGCAAGGCGATGCTCGCCACGCCCACTAGAGCGGCATATTGCGATTGTCTTGACTAATCCTGGTCGACTGGTGCTCTATTCTACACAAAGAATCCCTGAGATGCCGCAGACGTGGCTGTGTACTTCTTTTGAACATGGCATAAGATGGATCATTTGTAAGATATCTCGACCTGAGAAAAGTGTCGTCTTGTCCTGTGTTGGACAAATCATTGTTGCTGTATTTCCAGAACGAAAATATCTCAAACAAGGTGCAAGGTTTCCCTTGCAGGCAACGTACCTGCCCAAGAATGTCGCCTTTGCTAAGACCTTTGGAGGTGGTTCCGAAGTTGGATATTTCTTCATCTTTGCCTCTACCCTTACTATCCTCAACAAAGTTGTTCAGAAGGATATCGAAGAAGTCATTGTAGTTCTGTAAACAAGGGCAGCTATGACAGTAGCGAACCTCTGTAACTCTCAACCGATCCTACCAAATGATTCCCGTTCTTCCTTTCGTGGAACAATTTGTTGAGAACGTTGAAAAAGAATTCATTGGCCTCATGACTGAGGATGGAGATACCAGTGATCCTTTGGAAAGACGGCGCAAATGTTGGGAAACAGTACTGAATTTAAACTGTAATAGTGTGCTGATTATGAACTGCAGTGACAGACTGCTCGTGAAACCTAAGGACAAACTGTTCACTCACCTGGCCTAGGTGCTGTTTTTTGTTCTAGGAGCACTTGCCGAATCTCCGGCTGCTGCAGCCAGAAGCAGACCCATAGACAAACGCGTTACGTGCCTGCGCCTACTTCTGCCTGTTGTCTACCGCTAAGTGGTTAAGGAACAACTAGAAGTGGGAGGGAGGGAGTCCACAGCGGTATCTCGATATTTATGGAAGTGGTGCACACTGAAGATAGCGCTGGCGGAGTATGAAGGCAGCATCTAGTATCACTGCCCTCCAGCTTCGCTCCCGAGCACTGTCGAGCGGTAAAAGTGGCACTTTTCTACAGCTGTGCACCTCCACCTTGGACATGAGTGTACAGTTCGTCTGCAGACACCTTTGTGGGTACAGAATTACTTAATTATACATGTATACTCACTGACAAGGGCAACTTTTCTAGAACTGAGATTGATATCGCAGAATTTTCGAGCAAATTCCACGAAAGACGACCTTCTGTTGTGCTGAACATCAAAATCGTAGCCAAAAGCGCATTTAGCTGTCATATCCAGAGTGAGTCGAGTGATGACACTGAAGACAACAACCTGTACAGTTCCTCCATTAAAGTACTTTTGGGTCTCACGGGCGGTCAATGTAATCTGTTTTTGTGGAGGTAGTTCGAATCAAACAAAACTGCTGCATGAGTATTGAATCTCTGCTGTTTTTTTTCACTCACTCCTTTATGGGCACTGGCCTGCCGTCAAGTGCATATTCCTCGATAACATCTATACAGATTTTCGAACACGTGTTGAAGATTGGCACCATCTGGAAGCACACATTTGTAAATATACCAGGTTGAGGAATAAGTTCAAGCCGTTTTTGGTTGGTTATACCTGCAACTGGTTTTCATGAGGCTAACATTAAGACATCATCAGATGCTTGGTCCGTTCTTCGAAGAAAAAAATTGGATTTTGGACTTGGACTGGACTACCGGATTTTTTTCGCCAATCAAGGCTTTGAAAAAATACCAGGCGTCGGTGTTGCAGTAACACCCTTCATTTAGTTCGTCAGCTAGATAGGAAGATGATATTTCGTTGAGGCAAGGTTCTCAGAATACAACAACTACTCTTTAGCCCTATATTCCTAGAGGATGCTACAGACAACCATCGTGCTGAGATTCTGCCTCTCATGGAACAGAATACCATCCTTGAGTTTTCTTAGTTGAATGACTTTGGTTTCCTGATGAAATTCAGTTAGTTGAAGGTGACATCGACCATATTCCCGAGTCCGTCAAAAAGACGACTAGTGCGAGGCAAACCGCCCTAATCGAAATTGCCATTCTTGAACTTGGCAAACCAACATCGGCAGTCCTTGCGTCACCACTGACCTTTCTGCACAATGTGCAAATGCGTTGGTCACGACTTTTGGCAAAATTCACGGAATATTCGAATAGTGTCGCCCTGAAACTTGTCACTTGAGGAAAGAGTTTTAGTAGCGGACCAAATTACTGGCGGGTCAGAGGCTGGATTGTTAGGGATAGGGAATTCCTAGCTTCCGAAAATTTAGCCTCTCATTCCATATTTCTGCCCTATGTTCGTCCAGGAGTGGCGTTTTTCCCCTAGCGGCCATTCCGCCTGCTGAAATCAAGTTTCTTCACGTTACCTGTGATCATTTCATGTACACCTCTAGGTGATGAGACGGGCGGCTTGTTTTTCTCATACGTGCTAGACTGCACGATTTCCAACCTACTATAAGCATTATAGGTAGTACCCATATCATTCTATTAGGTCGTGGCAAAAATAATGACCGTTTTGAAGCAAATATTTTAAAATATCATAACTCGCTTCAAAGTGTTGCTTTTCAATCGAAATAACGACCAAAAGAATCAACACATTTCTGCCAACGAGAAGGCAGTTTAGATATTCCGGCAGCATAATTCTGGAGTTCTGGAATCGACGAAATCGTTGAATGCCTTTTCTACGTCGTCTTGGTTTCGGAAGCATTTCTCGCGTAAGAAAA